GATGAATGAAAATTTCCTTATTGATGGATTTTCATAGTGGCTCTCATGATATGAATGGTCTTAAAAGTAATGCCGTCTAAAGGGGATTTTGGGGCGTTACAAAATTTGGTATCAGAGCCTAGACTTTAGGTCTTACATGAGAGCTTTAAGTTATGGATTACCATTAGAGAGATAGGACTAGGTTGAATGAAATTTTTGATTTAAATTTTATACAAGCCTTATGTCTTATATTAAAGTAATAGTTAGAATGTCTTGTACATCAAGGAAACTAAATTGTGAATTGATGTGCAGGAAGACGGTGAACGTGGACGTGTGCATGGGCGTGGTTGTGGAGGTCAAGCAAACCCACCACCTCCGGATGCCATGAACGGCATATACCAATGCCTACGGGAGCTAACCACTCTGGTACAACACCAGAATAGAAACAACAACCACAACGGTGGGGTTCATCCACTAGCACATGTACCGGGCAACGGGGATGTACCGTAGAAGTTCTTCGAGAATTTCTACGGTAACACCCACCTACTTTCCAAGGGAGCTTTAACCCCTTAGATGCAGATAAATGGATTCGCCGAGTGAAGAAAATATGTGATGGCATGGGGTTAGCCAAGGATCTGTGAGTTGGCCTAGCTACATATCTACTAGAGGGGGAGACAGATCATTGGTGGGACTCGGTGAAGAGAAGGAGGTAACCATTAACCATTATAAAGTTCATTTTATTATTCATCTAATATGAACTGATGTTTAACTTTGCAGATGGTACAAATTCTTGGCAATAAACATATCAATTAATCAAATGGAATTTAAATCATTTCATCTTCCATTTTATAGCTATGTGGGCAGCTCATAGTCAAATATTCAATCCCATAAATTTCAATCATAAATTAATAGTAATATTATTCTATTTCTCTCCCATTCTCTCATACTCACGCTCTTTATCTAGTTGCAGGTTGCTACTCTTTTCGTATGATTTATGTTTTAATTGGAGCTAGGCTTGCACTAACATCTTGAAAATTTTCTTCTTGATTTGTTAAGTGTTTTTTTATTTATGAACAAACGTGATCAATTGTGGAAGGTTATTGTGAAAATAGCATCTTGAGATTTATTTACTCTAAATCATATATCTTCTATGTGTTTAATTTCCATGGTAATAGGTTTATTTTTTGTTTAGCATTGAAACTCATTTTGCGTATTTAGTATTATATTTCGTGTGTAGAAAAAATTAAGTGATTCTTTTCATGCATTGAATAACTGAAACGAGATCTTCTATCATGTAGATCATGGTTCAACTAGGTTTTTTGAATTGTTCTAGGATGTAAGGTACCAAATACTAATTTTTGTCAATATACATTTTACCATTTGAATGCGGTAAAACAAATTTTAGTATGTTCATTATAGATTTTTGTGGGTAATTCTTTTTCTAGTATATTCATGAAACATAAATGACATTTCTTTTAAAATGTATTTAATATTTTTCTTTCAGTAAATAATAAAAGTAATTAGTTTTCACCAGTTATTTTTTTTGTCATCGAAAATATGATAGTGAATTTTTAGGCATACCGTCCCAAGTTTATCATAATATAAGCATCCCTTTGTTTGTTATCCTTTTAGAAACAATGGCTATTAACTTTGGAGTAGACTATTGAAATTCTAATTTTACATGTTAAATTTGTCTATGACTTAAGTTTCACTAGATACTGCACAAAATGTTTAAATAGAGTTTATTTGTACAGTTGACGTTATTTCATAATTTTTACAGTAATAATATATTTGATATTGAAAATGATCCACACACAATGCACTTGTATACAAAAAAAAATATAAGTTTACATATCTATATCTATATCTATCTATCTGTCTATACTAATAATTCATGTACCTTAGTATAGAAAATTTTGATTCATTATTTTACCTTTATAAAGAATTTTAAATACCACATTATCTTTCCATAGTTAAAATAACAAAATTACCATCATATCTTTATGTGTTTAAATCTCCAAATTACCTCTAACATATCTTTTAATTTTCTATTCTCTATGTATAAATATCAATATTTATGAAATTTTTTAATTGACTCTATTACTCTTAAAAATAAGCATTGATTAGAATATTGACAATTATTGTTATTTTATTCAATGAATTATAAGTTGAAACTTAATCAAATAAATTTCAAAATGGATTATTTTTATATTTTTTTTTCTTACAGTTAAAACAACAAATCGTTGAGAACAGACAAATTTTTCAAATTTTATGATATAATACAAGCGATAAAAATAAAAATTTTATAAATTTGAGATGATATTTAATTTAAATACACATATACTTAAAATTTTTTATTAATATTTGATATACGAAAATTATTCACGTGGTGCATTGCTAGTACTGTAAAAAGCTTATTTAGGTGTCAATTTCGCAATTATGCATTTTACATTATTCATTACTCACCCAAAATGAAAGAACATACCAAAAATCAAGATCAATAGCTCACTGAAAAATTTGAAAACTAACACATATGCCTGAATGCACAAATCAACAGCTGCTTGAAATATATTAATTCTCGCCTCACAATTTTCTTAAATCTTTTCGATTGTACTGAATCACTATCACACTTGAAACCAAATGAATGCATTGAAATTTAAAGTCAATAATAAAAATGAGTATTACTTTCCCACTTAAAAACTGCGTGTCTCTTCCCAAAGTTTGCATATTACTATTCCGTTCCTTTATGGACTATGCTGCATCTTCATTTGCAAGAAGAATATAATTGCTTAAGTTTGTTATCCAATCAAAAACTATGACCTCCTTTTTTCTTTCCTTTTAATGGATTGGCCAAACCGAATAGGAAAAACGACGTTTGAAAATCTACTTGCTTTTGAGGATCTTCACCATATATACTTGCTTTTGAGGATCTTTTGTTTTTCACACTTGATTTATATTTGTTGCTTCCCTCAAGTGTCAACATAGTAAATGTGCTCTCCTTTATTTTTGCTCTTGCTCGGTCTTGATATAAGAAAATAGTTGCACTCCCTTTTGGAACATTCCTCACCGGAACAACTCTAAACAAACTAATTGATTGGTGACGAAGTTTCAAGATATTCTAAAATTGTTTCGCAGCTTCATATCGTCTCTTAAGGCGAGAAAAACACTGGCCGCTGCACCACCATCTGAAACACACAATGGATTAAGAAATTCTAAGAATTACCAAGATCAAGAATTGTACACAGTAAAAAAAAAAAATTAATAGGTAATCGTGTTGTGTTGTTTACAACATTATTTAACTAAAACAATTAAATTCCTACTAACATAAAAATCCATTTAGTTTACATCTTGTGCCTTCCTGAAAAATCAAAGACAAAAAGTAAAAAAAAAAAAGAAAAAAAGAGGAAAGGAAAAGAAAAGAAAAGGGCTAAAAAACTATAGTCTATTTGTTGTCTTTTTTTTTTCCCCTGATTGAAAGCAGTAATCATATAACGAAAAAATTAGTTGTATCTTCGCACCTGATGGATTTTCCAACTTCTCTTTTCTGGTCTATCATGACCTTGTATATACTGTATGAAGAGGGTGTCTCTCAACGTGGCACGTGCACTTGCATTTAATGATTCCACGTGAGCAAGACAAGACCAGTCACGTAACTGAGACATAATTATATATTAAGTCAGCAGTTTGAAGCCAAGCTTATCAAAGAGCTCGGCAATGAATAGAAGAGGTCGGTCTTCATCATGACCGAGCTATTTCAAATAGTATATGTAGAACCAAGGAGGTGCCTATAACTCAGGCATTCTGGCTAAACGAATTGACAAAATTATAGGCACGACAGGAGAAATTGTTAGAGAGATATCAGCAACTTCCCAACTAGAGCCACCTAATTGGAGGAAAGTGTACCACCTTGAATTGAAAATCATGGAAACCCTAACTGAACAGGGATTTATAAAAGGCACAAGGAGTCAAGGTGAAAGGTACACTGAACTCTCCTTGTTTTCTTTCAATTGATTCAAACCCATTACTGACTTAAGCATCGGAGTGCTTTTGATCGAAACACTTTGATCTTGGGTAGTTTGTTCGTTTTGTAGGAAGGAGAAGGTTGAGAGATTTAGTTCAGAAACACATCCCTACTGGGAATATAAATTCTTTATACATGTGAGAGGTTTGTCGTTTTTTATCTCTTACACTATTAAAGTTCAAAAGAAAATTTATCAAATATATGTTTCAGATACTCACACCTTAACAAAACAAATTTTCAAACCAACATTAGAAAGAGGGAGTGATAGAGAAAGATGTTTACCTAGAGAGAGAGAGAGAGAGAGAGAGCCTGTTGTGATGTAAAAAGGAGGTGTAATATGGTCCATTAATATAGTATATGTACGTGAAGGAACCAATAATAGAAAAAGATAAATTCATTGCATCTTGAATATTTGCTCTAATTGCTAGGATATAAAGTAAATCGTTTAAAATTTGTGGAGACATCTTCTAACTGATTTAAAGAAGTTTGAACCCGCACATCTTCTTGATAGGGTTGTCATTATGTGTATTTTTGAGGGTATACAAGTCTTTCAAAAAAAATTTCACATAATGTCATTTAGAAGAAGTGTAGATAATTACATATAATTTAATGTTGTCATTAACTGCAAAAAGATGGGATAGGCATCACCTATTTTGTTAAGATTATTTTAGTTAATCAAAAGTTTTTCACTTTTGTTGACATTTAAAAATAATATAGAATACGTTCATGGCGTGTTTGTGTGACGTGACTTGGATGGTTGCGGATCATTGAGAAAATTTAAGGCGAATAATTAAAATGTTTCTTAATGACCATTTATGTCCTTGTAATTACTGTCTATTTTGCCCTTTACAACCATAATGCTAACAGTTCATGATCATCTCTCTTCCACTTCCTCACTTTCCAAACAACTTGTCTCCAATTCTTTAATTCAATAGGTTTTAGTTTCTTTTTTTCAATTTTTGGCAAGTGTGTACTACATGATAGCTTTATCAGATGATTTATGTCCTTCGGAAAACTGATGATATTGGCATATTTTGAGATGTGTGAAAGCAAGTCTTATGTGGTCCTTGGGCTGTACACCATCTTAAGTTTTGAATTTGGTCCCCATTCAGGATTTTGATGACTCTGGGTGTTGTTTTAATGGTGTTTCATAATTTATGTTCAACTGCATTATGTCTGTAGGATAAGATCAACTTACCTCCGGTGGGTGTGAGATTAGCTATGCCTATTCCTTGTAGCGTAGGATTCATATGTGACTAAGTCCACCGTTTGATCATTTGCTCTTATTGTGTTTAGCGTATGAAAAAGAGCAGCTTTTTTCACACCAGCTGCGGGTCATAACCACCCCCCCCCCCCCCCCCCCCCCC